AAATTTCATGAAATTTTCAAACACTAAATATAATATATATTGCATATAATTTTATTAGTTCTATATTATTCACGACCATAAAGTTAGCGAGTAGGTTATATACTCTAACGCGAAAAGTACTTCTACTCCAAAGTGAACAAAATAACTTGTATTTCACCGCATCGGAAGCAATTGGCTAATAATTATGCTTTCATTAGCATTAGCATTTCTGTTATGCTTTTATAATATTAGGGAAGTCTTCTATAATTAACCGTTTATTAAATACGATCTCTGCTCGGTTGGTATACGTATCAGCTCTTAAAAATAAAATTTAATCTAATTGTATATGTTATTGAATTATTCAGTAATAAATAAACACCACTATTTACTTAGAATCAAATGTCCATCACTTAACTGACTGTTAGATTGTGTTGATGACCGATTGGGAATTCTTATAGTTTTTCTAAAAAATTCACTGTAAGACGACTAAGCATCTGACTGCAGTCATGTTTCAATTGACATTTAGTAAACTAATACAAAACTCATACTGGATACACTTCTTTTTTTCACTTGTAGATAACACCGGTGAAAAACATAATATTATATCTAATGAACATGAATTAATTTATGAAGAATTAATAACAGTTATAATTGATCATCAAGCAGTTATTAAGTAAGTAGTAATTTTAATTTGGAACTAAATTATTTTATGATAATGTTATGATAATGTACCTACCTAACAGTAAAATTAAACCATATAGGTACTGAGGATAATAAAAATATAAAATATAATACACTTTTTTAACAATCATAATTATTATTTAGTTGTACCTATTAGGTATATTAAATGATAATCTATAACTATTATATTAGTTTTGTTTACGAGAAGAAATACTACAAAATAATTTATTTTCCAAACTGCCAAACGTTTATACAAGTCTATATAGGGATATGAAGTTATTCAAAACGTGTGAAAATTCACGAAAACCATTCAGAAATATGGTGGCAATAAATTATAATTTACACATTAGAAAAATAATGGTGTACATATTAATTACTTCATTTAAATATTCAAGTTTTTTTGATTAATCCATTTAAAAAAGCATTTATACTGTATAAAAATATAAAAATAGGGTTTAATTTGGATATGCATCTTATGTACCTGTACTGGCAGAGTTGTTATTATTCTAGTTGAATCGAACAGTTCATTACAATTTCATATGATTTTACACAAATACAAAAAAAAAAAAACAACATTTTAATGGACAGCAAAGTCTCTTTAACACAAATTAAAGGACATTCCTAAATATAATTATTCATTAAATTTAGTTTTATATATTTATATTTTTTAAGTTTATATTTTCAACAGTCAATATTTCTTTTGCTTTAATTATAATATCAAAATCTTACGTATATTTTTTATTTTTTTTCCAGGAAATTTGAATTATTTTTAAATATATTTGAACGAGTCATGTTGTCACACATTTTTGTTTCCTCGTTTTCACTCATCATACTTTTTTTTAATTTAGTAATGGTAAGAAAATATAGGAATACTTAAAAATTTGATGACAATTAATTCAATTTGTATAATATCCAAATTAATAGGCCATGTACGAAAAATGTAATATACCTACATTTTATACCAACAAATACACACCGAGATACTGTGTGTAAAAAAATGGCTCTAGAAGTTGTGATATAATTTTAAAGGTAGCTAAGTCTTTAAACAATAGATATTACTTTAACATAAATTGATAAAATCAAATATAAATAATATTATCTATTGTTCAGACTTATAGTTCCCTTGAAAATGATATCATAACTTTTATAGCCGTTTTTTATACTTAGCGTTTTTTTTACACGGAGTAAGGGGAGTTTTTTTGTTGGGATATCACTAATTTTTACTAATTTTGATACCTTAATATTTCGGGAAATTATTGTTTTACAACTATGTTTTTTTTTCTTGTTTATTGGTTGGAATAGGTGTGGTTTAGTGCATTGTAATGCCGGATGGGGGGAATATCATCTAATACATTTTTGAAAAATAGCTATTATAATTTCTTGTTAAATTGGCTATAACTCTATTGATTTTGTTCAAAATGGTTTTCAAACTACATGCATATAAATAATATCATGCACTTCTTTCTTAGATTATTGTATTTTCAAACTTCATTATTTAACTACAAATTGTCTAGGCTTTCTCAAGAAATTTATTTCGTAAATAGTGTTGGTATCTGTAATATACCGTATATGACAGTAAAGTGTGTGTTTAACCTAATGTATATATTTTAAGGCGCTCTTTCCTTTTTATACTTAGAGTGACCATGTAAGTAGTTTGATTATTACAATAATATAATATTTTTCCTGAAAATGAGGATTTACTTTTAAATACACGAGTTAATTTGCTCCCCTAAAACCTTTTCATGACGTCTTATTAAACAAACTATAATATTCATTATTACAGATATGCATATATTTTGAAAAGTGAAATTATATCCATAAATGATAAAATATGAACTTATATAATGAGTATTCAGAGTTCGATGAGTGAACACATTTTATTATGACATAATCTATTTAATATCTTATTGATTATTACATAAAAGATTAATAACACTTGTTTTATTTATGTTTGCTGGTTTAAGTTAATAAATTCAAAACAGTTCACATGTGCAAAAGAAAGATATGAAGTGATAATTTAACTGAAATTAAATGATTTTAGAGTTTCTTCAATGATGGTACATTTGCGATTTCTGGTGATACGACAGTAAAATCGATTGTGTTGATTCCTTCATTCTTGTTTCAAATATTTATGGCCTGTTATTTATTTGATGATATACACGAACAAGTAAGTAGAAATGCATTACTTTTTACTATAAATATTTATTGAATAAGAATATATTATAGTATATGTGGGATTGCAGCACTAGATGTCACCCTGGTGCGTAGAGTGTGTGTGTGTGTGGTACGAGCAGTAAGAGTAGAGTACTAGAGTCAGTGTTGTTGAAAAAGTGCATTTGCACTTTGCTGTGAATTGTGATATAATTTTTCTGTTGTAATTAATAATCCGTTAAGTGTGTTATACGAATAAAGTAATAAAGTAATGATATCGAATAAACGAGCTATATGTATTTACTGTTGATCGGTCACCCACATATGTATGATCAACATAATATGATTGCAATTATTTCTGCAGATATTTTACATTCAACAGAGTTGAGATTTGTATTATATAGTTCATTTAGTAGGTACCTGATAAGACTTATTAGTTATTATATAATTCATGTTCATCCCTACATTTAATATTTTAATGCATCATAAATCGTGATTGCAAATTAGTGCCCATAAAACAGACGGCGATGGTATTGAGGTCGTCTTTTGGGTGGATAAGGTTTTTCAACAAATAATTTGGTGTGCAATCGGAATTTAAATTTGTATAAATCCAAATTGTTAGTGGGTTTTTTTAGTTCAACAAAAGAGAGAAGCAAATGTGATTTGTCGGGAAATCACATAATATTATAAACGTGGGTGACATGATTTCCCAATTCTGAGATAAGAGAAATAATGTCTACACTTGAAGTAGAAGGGTGGAGATAACGTATCCCCACCCTTAATGAACGTTTCTCATATTGCTGGTAAGAATAAAAACAGTAACTGTTGCCAATTAGATATTTGACAAGATTTAGTAGTCTGTAATGATCATAGAAATTAGTGGAAATAATCAGATATGAAGGTGTGGTTTCACAGATAAGCTCTGTAGACCTAATCAATGACATCAAGTTTTAGGTAAACTGGAAAAATTATACATGGCTTTGATATAAATTGATGGTGGTTTTGGTAACATTATATTTGTGAGAGTTTGAGTCTTTTTTGGAAGTGTGCTTTCATTTGAGTCATCTTGTGTAGCGAGAACTGTGCTGAGTACCAATTACTGAGGACTTATGAATATTTTTTGTTTCCTATATCCATTTCCTTGGGCAATGCGTTCATCGTGAAGATTACCGTTCAACTAAATACTAATGTGAAATAAATATTATGTATGATTTAGCATTGGGTAATAAATCTGATAGCAAAATTTTATAAAACCAATAAAAATTATTATGTAGTATGTAAGTTGTCTACATACTTTGTAAAGTGTCTATACAATTCTGTTGATTCTCCACCTTTTTCATAAACAACGAAAACGTGCAATAAAAAATATATGAATCATAATTTCCTAGCTAGTGCAGGCGAGTGCGTGCGTTTTATATACTGACCATGCTGTTGCCCGCATGCGGCGAAATACAAGCTATTTTGTTTTTCCCCGCATGCGTGAAAAACCAGCTAGGACATTACTAAACTTATGGTTTAACAGTTTATTAATGAATACTTTTATATCTTGCCTATTACATTTAGAAAGATTCAATAGTATATGCATTGTACAGCAGTAATTGGACTGAAATTGATATGAAGTGTAAAAAATTGGTATTATTAACAATGAAATTGAACAATGCTAATCAGAAAAAGTTAAGATATACTAGAACAAGAGTTTTAAATTTGGAAATGTTTTTTTAAAGTACGTACTAATAAAAATATTATTACTAAACTAAAATTATAAAATCATAGTCAAGTATATATTTTATGGAATTCATATTCTAAAATAATTTTCTTACTTATACCTATAAAAAATAATTAATAATTTTATGCTTAAAATATGAATACAAAATTATTGAGAATCTCGCTCTGCGCCGCTTGACACGGTAGACTGGTTGTGGTAGAGGATGAAGGTTACACTCAATAACAACAACTTTGTTAATAGTCGATGTACACTTTATTATATTTAAAACAATTGAACAGAAGTACGTTATGTAGCGCGTTAGGAACAAGACAGACGGCCCAGTCGGCGGCGAGGTCGGGCGTCGTTGTCGACGTCCGGGTCCCAACCACCTGCCGTCCGACTATAGAGCGTCGTGCGGGTGACACGAAAGACGTAGCGACCGCGACATTCTCCCCCGCCAACCCGCACGTCACCGTCTACCTGCTCACAGGCCGTCGTCGTCGCTGTCCGGCAGTCCCGACAGCATGTCCACATCCGGGAGCTCCTGTGGGCCTACCCGGAGTTGGAGGAATTCCTCCTCGTCGGTGTCCAGGTTGATTAAATCGGCCACCTTTGGCACTAACCTAACCTGCTTGAGATCGGCCTTCGTCCGCACTGTCCGGATGTTCCTGGTGGGGATGGTCGACGTTTCCTTCGCCAGTCGTCGGGATCCTGCCTGTGCTGCTGGTGGGGGTCTCACCACTCCCCGGTCCAGAGCGATCTGGATCAGTGGATGTTGCAGCAGGTCTTGATGGGTTGCCCCTACGGCCCACCTGGCCAGCGCCCGTCCGTCGTCAGGTTTCACCTCTAGACTCGTCTCGGTTGGGGTCTCCATTGTCGGCGTGGCCACCGATGGCGTTTGGGTGCCCCTTTCCGCCCTTTGTTGGTTCTTCCCGTACCGTCGCCACACGGCCATCAGGTTTTCCCATGTAGGTATGCCCGATGACCGCCCAGCGAGCCGGCGCGCATTCAACAGGTTTAGGATCAACTGTACCACATCAGATACGGTCCCCCTGTGGGGACGGTAGTCGCCCATCGACAGATTAAAATCTCCGTTGCTGTTGGAAGGCGTCGTTGTCGGCTGGTTACGTGAGGACATCTTGGTTTTCCTGCTATAAATACACAACATGTTATATGGAAAACGTATTGGTTATGGTGGGTAATTCTCCGATTGTCAACATCGTTGGTTTTCCCATCTCGTGTGTGTTGTTCGTATGTCGGTTTTCCCCCGTGGTGTTCGTTAGGGGGAAAAACCCGGAATGTTTTCGACGTGGTTTTCCCCGAGTCGGTAAAACCCCAGGACTAGTTCTGGGTTTGACCCGGCCCGCATGTCTGTGTGCTCGGGCGTGTCGTGCTGATGATAAGCTAGGTGTGACCTGTCACCGTGTTGCCGGTCGCGCCACTCTCCCCCGCCAATCAGCACGGTGTGTTCGGTTGTTTTCCTCTTGAATCTTCTGTCATTTTCGGAGTTGGAATTGGAAAAACCCGTATGTTGGGTTCATACCGTTTACATATTGTTTGGCGGAATTGTTTGGTTCTAGGTATTTCCCGTACCGCGTGTGTGTTTAGACCTGGGGTTATCTTCCAGCATTTCCGTACTTTACCACTTATTGGTCCGTCCGCTCCTTAGCCTCGTATCTTGGTCTTTCACTTGCCCTTTAGGATGTTGGTGTTTTCTTCCCTTGACTTCGTGACTTGGTTCAGGTTCCCTACTTCCAACGGAGTCGGTGACGGTATGACTTTTGTCGTCATTGGTTATTGTCATTCGACTCCGCTGTTGGTTGAGGTTGTGCCCTCGATTGGGTCAGCCGGTGTGACGTGATTGTCAATTTAACTGTCCTTAACGACTCCAACGTCTGTAACACATGGTGCCTGCCTACTCCCCTATTTACCATAGTATTGGCGCGGCAGTGACACCGGTTGGGGTACCTTATTGAACCTTTGTTCACGTGCGCAGGGGGGATAAACCTCTAGATTCTTTCTCGGTGTTCCGGGCGCGTCTCGTTGCCGTTGGCTTCGAGTCGTACCCACCTTGTATAGACTGTTGAGTTGTAGTACTTTGGTCTTGTCTATTTTCAGCTGCAGTACGGTTGTCGTTGTTGTTCCTTGACTTTAATCGCATTGCTTCGGCGTTGATTCACTGTTCGGGAGGGGTTTTCCCGAGGTTTGTGATGTGCCGATTGTTGTTGGTCTTGTTCCCTGTTGTGTGGGTTTTGCCCGTATGTTTCGTCGCTGTGTTTTTCCCGACATCGTTATACGGGTGTTCGGTCCGGTCGTCGACTGTCCCGTCCCCGCAGATGTGAAAACCTGTTTGTCGCGAATGACTATACGGGTATTCCCAGCGTTCACGGAAAGTGCCCTGCGTGTTTTCTAAACAGCCCATGGGTTTCTCCCAGTATCGTTTCTCACGTGGTTTTGGGGCTTCCCGAGATCACCGAAATGCGTTATACTATGTTTTGTTGAGGCTACCCATTGGTGGTTGTTGCCCCTTCGTACACTAGTGTTGTTGGACGGACTATCCTGTCCCATACCCAGTACCATGCCTTTCCACGTGGTCCATAGACAAATGTTTGCTACTACATGTGGAGTACCCGTGGGATCACCCGTGATAAGTAATATGGTTAATATAATATTGACTTACCTAACGGGCCACGAGATTCAAAATCCAAAACCGACTGCGCCACTGACACGGTAGACTGGTTGTGGTAGAGGAAGAAGGTTACACTCAATAACAACAACGGTGTTAATAGTCGATGTACACTTTATTATATTTAAAACAATTGAACAGAAGTACGTTATGTAGCGCGTTAGGAACAAGACAACCGGCCCAGTCGGCGGCGAGGTCGGGCGTCGTTGTCGACGTCCGGGTCCCCACCACCTGCCGTCCGACTGTAGCGCGTCGTGCGGGTGACACGAAAGACGTAGCGGCCGGTATTTCGGCGTCGCCGAAATACCGACCACGACACGCTGCTAATTAGTTTTTAGCTTACCTCATAATTTAGTAGATCGCTCTTATCCTAATAGTTGTATTAAATTGAACTCTTCAATGATTAAATATTGTGTAAACTATACGCAGTATTGAGTATACGAAGAAAAATGATGCTGAGTGGAGAAAGCGGCCATCCTATAATATAGAACCTATATTATTACCTACTTCTAAGGATATTTTATCATATATTTATAAACAGTTATAATAAAATAATAATTTATATTATTATTCAATAATATTAATATTGTATAGAGTAATTAATATTAAATAATAATGAATAAATAATTAATCTTATAGTCATGGTGTTTAAAATTGCAAAATATATATATAAAAAAAAAAAAGATTTCTAATTTAAATTTAATGAAAATTGCAGTAAGTAATAAAAACTTATGAAAAATCATGTATTTAATTCAGGGCCGTCCCTAGGGCAGGGCGAGCGGGGCCCTCGCCCTGGGCCCCGCGCCTTCACCAGTTGGACAGGCCCCGCTTTTGTAGATACCATAAAAAAGCCAAATTAATGAGGAAAAAAAATTATTATTTATATATTTTTATATCCTTAATTGCTGTAATTTTTACTACCTATACCTACGGCTATGACCTACTTACATTAATTGACATCAGTCGTCAAATAAATGTATTGCATTTAAAACGAGTTAATATGATTAAAATTCAATTTTCAAAGTTGAAAATGATAAAAATCTTCAAAGCGCTCTGTCCCCCCCAAAAAACAACAACTTAGCTATAATATTTATAGAAAAAAAATGCTTAGATTCTGAGCGGAGCGAAAAAATGTATTGATTTTACAATGATGTGTGTTTTTTTCTGTTTTGTATGGCGCTTTTTGGGTAGTAAAAGTGCTCCGATTTTCTAGATCAGCATCTTTACTGATAGAAAAGTGAAACTAGTTGGTATTTTTGGGATGTCAAAATTAAAAATTTCTAGTAGTTTTAGAAAGAGTTGAGAAAAACAAAAAAATAGGTGTCATACAAAACCAATTTTTGAAAAATCTATTTTATTTTTTTATGTATCTCAAAAATTCATAACTGTAGAACCTTGAAATTTTCAACAAATATTTATATTAGAATTTTCCATAAAACATTTTCTCAATATTTTGACTATTTTTGAGCTAGTTATAGGCTTGAGCCCTTGAGAAATTTTCCATTTTTCTAAATTTTTTTAAAATTATCTTCGATAAAATCTTTTTCATTTAGTAAAAAATCTTGAAAATGTAATGATAGGTTCCTTATAATTTTCATTAATGGAAGTTTTAAAAATACATAGGCTCAATTATTTGTTATATGCTTATAAAGTTCCAATTTTGACAAAATTCATAAAAGTTTTTGTTATACCTAACTTGAGACATTTTAGTAGAAGGTTTCCAACAAGTTTTTGTAATTCTATCAAACTAAAAAAGTTCCCCAGGAAGCCACGTTTTCGATCTTTGTTAAATTTTTTTTTTGCTACTAAATTTGATTATTTTTACAAGTGTGCTAGGCTGATACAATGTCTCCGCTCAGAATATTTTTTCTTTTACAATAATTTATCAATGTAATTTAAATATAACACATCCATTACAACGACATGCTTGACACCCACTGTACAGCAAAGCGGTATCCACTTGTCCACCTTTTTTCATATTGTATTAGGTGCCTACTATATTTATAGACTTATTAATTTATTAATATTATTATATTAAGTATAAATATATTACGTGTTTTGTTATTAATTAATTTACTTATTCATATTATTGTAAGTACAAGGTACTATATTTTTAAGTATATTTGCGAGTAGCCCCCTTATACCTAGGTAGGTATATATCATAATTCATAATATTAAATATTTAAATAAATGCAACTGCCAACTGACGATAATGACATTTTAGGCCCCACAAATTTACTCTGCCCCGGGCCCCGCAAATCGTTCGGACGGCCCTGATTTAATTTCGAAGGTATACAAATTTAATTTTAATCTTTGATTCAAGTGTTTTTAATTAAATAACAGCTGTGATATTGGCTTTGTCGAGTTTTGAAAAAATTTAACTTTAAACGCATAAAAAATATGTCATAAACACACACATATGCATCGGAAACCGAATATAATTCAATGCTTCGTTTAAAATCTAAAATGTCTTAAGCCTTGCTTACTTCTGTAACGTGCCAACCACTTCAACTCAGTTTTGATTGTATTTTGAAGAAAATAACAAGTCGATGGTATAATGATAGTTTATTTGTATTTATTTAACACGTAAAATAGTCTAAGTCCAAATAATTAATTTATAATAATGTGGTAAACGAGATGTGACTTAGTATCGACTTGGTGGCTGCTCTACTGGTGATCGTCTTCTCGGTCGGTGTTCGTCTGATGGACACTTGTCCATCGACGTATTTCGTCGGTATTCCTAATAGATCCCTCCTATGGCATTTTTAGTATAAAAATGGTACACACGCCGTATCCGCCCGAGGTCATTTCTGACGTCTTTTATGAAAAATGTTAATTACGGATTATATGTTTCCAAAGTTATCTATTTGTACTGTTTACGGTATTTTCGTCTTTCCTAGAATATCGATATTGCGTGCGTATACCCATCACGTGTTCGCGCTGTACCATTAATTAGTTCTTATCGATGTGGCCGTTCGGATGCTCATATTATTACTATTATCGGGGTTACGTGCTCCCTGCAGCATTTATGTCTATTATTGAGTATAATATATATGTATTATAATCGTATTATACTTAATACAATATAATATAATATATTATTTTATATATTATTACTATTATTAATATATACGTAGTCACAGCCCGTTACACCTCATCGCCCTTTCAAAGGTTTTTGTAGGGCTACAATTTGTAGAACTACAAAAATCTTTAAAGACAATTTTACATAATTTCTTTTCATGACATAATGATTTTCATTTTACATAATTTCTTTTTACGATACATAATTTTTCATCACAAAACATAACAATATTTCTTTTTATAACAACATAACATAACATAACATTTTTTTTTTTATAACATAACAGTTTCATTACATAACAATATATAATATATTTTTCATCTGATTTTTAAACATAATAACATAATAATTAAAATTTTTTGTTAAAACAATATACCTTAATAACTAATACAATAACATTCTATATTACTATAGTATTGGATACAATAATATTTTTCATGTTAAATTACATGTTATATATAATTTATATTTAATGATTACAAATATTTCATAATCTCCAATGGGATTACAGACCAGTATATTTAATAAGTGCGTGTTTAAATTTATTTTTACATTATTGTTAATAATCAGTTTTTTTATTGCACTGGCATAATTTCAGTAATATTAATTTACTATAACAAAATGTGTATTATCTATTTTTATGTCACATGGTTACTGTCTTACTAAAGGTCGAGTAACCATGCTCCAAACCAAACTTCAAACGTACTTTTGTAAAAACTGTAAAATAATTCTCTTTGTTAACCAGGGAAATGACTAATTAGATTTTCATACGTTAAATAATTCAAAATGAAACAAATACGTTTAAATAAAACATTGATCCATGACTGCAATATTTAATAATTGGGAAAAGAACTAATAATTTCGAAATTTTTAGAAAAACTAATAGCGTAGATATATTATAAAAACCGGAAATTTAAACAAGTTAAGTCATATCTAATCTTCTAAAACTGGAGGACTAAATTTTGGAGCTTGTGTATATATTTCAGAAACGTTCGGGTGGGTAAGACCACTAATATAAAATTTTTCATCGTACTCAACGTAATCCGTAATGTTAACACTATTTATTAAGCAATAATATGCCAAAATCTTCGCCCTATTAAGAAGACTTTTTGACGCAGTGGTAACATTACTTGCTCTTTGATCTTGATCTTTAACATAACTACGAACAAACGGTTCAGGTCTAGAACTGTTACTTACTGATGCCATAGTAGAATTAAACTTACTCTGTTCTAACGAAAGAGCAAGCTTTGCGTCCTGATGAGTTTGCTGAATGGAATAATAATTAACAATAACACCAGCCATATTATTGACTAAGCCAATAGCAGTCAACCCACGATCGAACCAAGAATCCCTATTAGTAACTACACGTTTCTTAACAGGATCCTTATAGAGTTTATTGCGGGACAAATCTCCATAAATAAGTCTAGTGTCCGATCCTGGCGTCTCGGCAGGTGTGTTTGGCAATCGCTTATCCACTTCAGGGTCAGTTTTCTTGTCAGTTTTCTTGTCAGTTTTCTTCATATCCTTATTTGATTTCGTACCTAATTTTCCAGGTGAACGTCTAAACCTCTCCAAGATAGTGAAGGAAGTTATGCACGGGTACTTCGTATCACATTGACAGGAATTTCCGATAACGACCACATTGGTCATACCGCAACATGCGCAATCAACATCCTTCTTGCAAGCAAGATCCGAGAATTCAGACAAACGACTACAAAATACCGGCACAACAATTTCAACAACGAATTTGAATGATAGATCATCACCCAAAAATTTCTGAAATAACGACGATCTATTAGTAAGAAAAGTAGAATATTCGATTGAGTGAGGAAAGTCCGGGAACAAAAATGAATAAGAAGACTCAAAGAACAAAAATGAATAAAAGAATGAAAAGAAATATTTGTTCATAATGAAAAATAATAAAAGAAAAAATTGATAAAATAAAATATAGGCACACAAATCAGTCCAATTTTTGATTTTGCACACGGAAGGACTTACAACACGGCCTATATAAATTCAATAAAATAACTCGACTTCAACTGTCGTAAAATTCAAAAACAAAAAGACTTACAACACGGCCTATAATAAATTCAATAAATAACTCGACTTCAACTGTCGTAAAATTCAAAAACAAAAAAGGACAAAAACACGGCCTATAATAAATTCAATAAAATATCAACACAGACATCAATTGTCTAAATAAATTCACAAAATACAAGGACTTACGGCCTTTAAATAAAATTCCAAATAAATTCTCAATATATTCAGCAATAAATAATTCACCCCCTTTTTTTTTTTTTTAATTATTATTCAATAATAATTCTTTTAATTTATTATAATAATCAGTACAACTATTTCAATGAATTACTTCTAGAATGGAAATTGTTAACTAGTGAAGACGTCCTAAATAATTTCAACTATAAATGTTAATTAATTAATAAAATACATTTTTTCTCAAATTAATTACTATCTGAAATAATTAATTAAATAATACAATTCCTTTAATTTATTCGTTCTCTAATAACTGAATTGAATTTCCGTTGTATTTCAATAACTATATTTATTCCTAAAGTTATTTTATTATTCTATAAAATTATTAATTGACTCAAATTATTATAATAAGCAACACGATTGAATTCGATAATCTGATGCGTAAAATAGAAATTGCCCAGTTTAAATAAATTTAAATAATAGGTACAAATGTCTATAATTAATCAATCAAAAAAAATTATAGTTGAATATGAAAATTAACATCCCGAACAATTAAATTGTGTAACTAAACGATTAAAATTTATTAAAATTATTATTTTAATTTACTTAAATTATTCAAATTATTGAAAATTATTTTAAAATCAAAGTACTATTTCTATTTTATTTAAATGATTGAAATTTATTTTAAATTTAATTTTATTATGTTAAGTTAAAATTGAATTATTAATTTAAATTATTTAACTGATTGGATAATTTTATTGTAAAATAAAATTATTGTTTTATTTTATTTACCTAACGATTAAAGATTTAGTTTAAAACTAAATTATTATTTTAATTTAATTTAATTAAATGATGGAAAATATATTTTTTTTTTTTTTTTAATAAAATTATTACTTTAAATCATTAAATGATTAAAATTATTTTAAGTTAAGTTAGTATTTTAAATTATTTTAATGTTAATGAATTTATTTTATTAAAATGGTTAAAAATTTTATTTAATTTAAATTATTATTTTATTTTAATTTAATTTAAATGATTGAATAAATTTATTGTGAATACATTAATTATTTATTTTATTTAGAATTGACTTCAAGTACTGAACAATATCTATCTTACTCTATTAAAATGATTGAAACATAAAATACCTGAAAATAAAATTTTTATTTAATTTAATTTAAAGTTGAAAAATTTTTTTAAGTTATTTTAAAATAATTTATTATTTTATTCAAAAGTTAATTATTTTAATCCTCGAAAAACTATCGATTTATTTTATTTAAAACACTTGTAAATTTCAACACAATTTCGGTTTGTTGAAACGAAAATTCAAAGTTCCTTAAATTTCTTATATTATTTAAGGGGCCTCACTACCAAGTCTTTTTTTTGTCAAAAACTACTGTTTCTAATTCCAACGATACGTGTCGACAATTATCACGATTTTCATTCTGAAAAGATATTCTGATTGTCCGTAATATATACAAGGGAACGATCGAGCCACATTTTTAATTTTTGTAATTTAAATTGCAATAAAAATTGTAAAAAAATCAAAAAAAAATACAGAATTTCCAACTTAAATATTTAATTAACTAAATACAATTTTAAAAATGTGCCTCGATCGATCCCTCGTACATGTTGTGGAAAATAAGAATATTTTGTCAGAATGAAAATTGAGGTAATCGTTGCGACGTAATGTTGGAATTAGAATCGTATGTTTAAGTGAAAAATAAGCATTTTTTCATGATCACAATATTATTATATATTGACATGTGAGTGCGAGTGCGTGCGAGAGCTACAATTGACCCGCATGGACGCCACACACACTAATAATCATTTACGACTAACACATAGATCTCGGGTGGCGACGACGAGATTAGAAATTGCCTAAATGATTCTCCTTAAATCAATGCCATTGCGAGGCCCCTTAACACGACTAGTTTCTTCACTTATTATTATATTATACTATGGTCATGTGTATACCATAGGATAAGAACACCGTGATATTAATTATATTAGCATATTTACAACAACGCAGCTGGTACAGCGGGTGCTTCCATTTGCTCGGTTGAAATGTTGATTGTAGTTGGGTGTTACGTAGTTGTACAGGATTCTTTCTCGGAGTTGCTGGAAGGTGATCAATCTCCCAACGGTGATACAGTGATGAATTTTCCTCCTTGATTAAATTTAGAAGATGAAAAATTTTTCAAAAATGTTTTAATTGTTCTTCAGGTTTCTTCTAAGTATCCTTTGAGATAACCCTGTCAACAGCGCTAATTTTTTAACGTGCCAACCACTTCAACTCAGTTTTGATTGTATTTTGAATAAAATAACAAGTTGATGGTACAATGATAGTTTATTTGTATTTATTTAACACGTAAAATAGTCTAAGTCCAAATAATTAATTCATATTAATGTGGTAAACGAGATGTGACTTAGTATCGACTTGGTGGCTGCTCTACTGGTGATCGTCTTTCCGGTCGGATAATTAAATTGTAGCGTTAAAATGTTAAATGATATTTTGTCTTAAATTAAATAGCTTATTAAAAAATAAAACGTTTATCTTTTTAAAAATTGATTGGGGGGGGGGGCGGTGTGAGATTTTTAAAATCTAAAAGGGGCGTTGAGTAAAAAAAGGTTGGGAAACACTGATCTACAGTCTACACTCGTACCTCCACACCAACGTCGACTACGTGTATGTCTCTCGTATCAGTTTTCATATTATATTATACTGTTGAGTTAATTATTGTTAAATATCATTCCGCCGATGCGCTGGTCGTACTGTGTGATTTCTTTTTATTTATATTATAACGTTTCCGTCGAGTTATATTATTTTTTTTTATTATATTATATACGTCTGCGTATATAATATACGTTTATACATATGTTACACTTATTTCAGAACAGAATCCTGACCCAATTAGTTATCTGTATATAAACAGTATTTAGAAAAGTGCTTCTCACAAAATATTCAAGGCTACCGGGGTAACTTATTATTTATAAGGACCTACCTACTATTGCAATGTGATATTATTAAAGGAATAAATTGATCTGTTATTGAAACTGATTGTAATAACTGAAAATCCATTTTAACGATATTACTTTTAAAAAAAAAATTGTCATATACAAGATACTTTTGATGCAAGTTAAGCTATTACAATACAGTTATTGTTTTTTGTTCTCAGATATGAGATGCATAATATTACTCCCTGTCCAACTAGGTTTTTTTCTTTCAATTGTTTTAATTATTTATGTTGCTTATGACAACACAGTATTATGATTATCGTTTTTATTATTATTATTATTATTATTATTATTAATATTACTATTATTAATATTAGGTACTATTATTATTTATTATCATTATTCAAAGTTTATTTTATAAAAATAATAATTATATTGTACATTGTATATCGTATATCGTATATTGTTTGCGTTACGGTCAAGGTCGTACAATTGGAAATTACGCAATAGTTAAATGCCTCGGGAAAAAGTTTCATTTCCTTAAAAATTGGCCAATTATTTTATAGTCATTAGCTAACAATTGATGTTATCGGGCACATATTTAGAGAAAATATCTACAATGCTCCACTATTAACAATCATTGCAGCCAACAATTTTAGTCAACGTTTTATTGTTATTAAGGTACGTTTAAGTATTTCATGGTAATGATTTAATCAAAAAACGATTAGAAATAAAAATAAATAACAAACATTAAAGTTATAACTTTGAAGGAAGTCCAATTTAAAAATATATTAGAGTAGTATTAGAGTGTTATTAGAGTTTGCAACAGTTAAAACATATTTTGTTTAAAACAAAATATTTAAAAATAGATGGTAATTATTTATTAACAATTGTCATATACACTGCTAAAGTGTATTTGGGTAAGAAATATGTAAATATATATTATATTAACTTGACGTTTACATCTATGCAAGGTACATATTGCAACCTTAAGTTTACCAAATTGAAAATATTTTAACAGTAGTACCTATTAATCACATTCGCTAATAAGTTTCTGTACATTTTCAATATAACCTGCACGATGAAGTCATTTGAAATTACGAGATAACGTTCGATTCAATCATGCCGAATTCTAAAAGTTTTTTTTACACAAATTATCTATTTTTTAATAATATAATCATTTAATTTGATGATAGACAAATTAACTGAACTTAAAAGTGGATAGTTATAAGGATTCCTTCCTACCTCAATATTGTGCTTATGTCGTTACATTAATAATTTACTTTGATAGTTTGATGTCTATTTTATCTGTTGAAGATTATATTTTAATCACTTATATGGTAACCATGACTTTTCAGAGCAAAAACCATTTTTGTTCTAGATTCAAATCTTTGTATTTACTCGTGATATTTATCAATGACTGAAGTTTTAAGTTTTAAATATACATTAAACTCCATTCATGACATTCACATTAAATGACTTTGAAATAATATAAACGTCTCAAACTCTATTATTATTACGTCAAATTGTTTACGACCACTTAATCAGTCGCTACGTAAACTAGTTTACAAATTATTGTGAAGTAGATACCTAGGTGGCTAGGTATATTTTTATACAATATTATACATTATATATTCTAATACCTACTTATCAATAGTAGTTATAATTTCTTATAGACTAATAATGATAAAAAAAAATAGCAATACCTGCATATTTTTTCCTCTGCTGATTAAGTACAACCC